AAAGCAGAGCACGTCAGTGTAGATTCCACTAGGTGAGACTGGTGGTAAGATTAGCCTATGGCAATTCTCTATTGAGTGTCACAATTTTATCAGTGATAGAAAACAAGGCATTATACATCTATGCATTTGCTATGAATTCATGTTGGCAGATTACACATCCGAACCCTTGAGACATAGGATTTGGCTCTTTGATGAGCTTTGCCCAAAGGCACATTAGCAGAGAGACGTGAACTGAGCATTGAAATATGCTTGCATTGTTGATCCTGTTTTCCTGACTTGTATTCTAAGAAAAACATGTTTCAGTTAGCTGCTGGTCGTTACCATAGGCGAAGGGGGAGGGAGGAGGGCAAAAGGGGTGATTAGGCTCAGATGTGAGGGGACGGACTATAATTAGTTTTTGGGTAGTGAACATGATGTAATCTACACAGAATTCGAAATATATTATGATGTACATCCAAAAGCTATATAATGTTATAATCCAATGTTAGTGCAATAAAAAGGAAAAAGAAAGAGAATTTGAGGAGAAAAGATATTGCTAGGCTAATAAAAGCCGTTCACTTTTCAGTAGAAAAGTTTGAGAGTAGAGAGAAACTTAGGCATAAAAAAACAACATAAGAAATGATTTTTTTAAAATAGCATGTATTGGAGAGAGTTCTAGGATTGATAATTATTCCAATAATGATCTGGATGACCTTGGGTAAATGCATGAATATCTTTAGTTTCAATTATCCTTGTGTGTAATATGTATGGATTAGAATAGACATTCTCCTGTGCCCTTTGATGTTTTAAAATTCTGACCAGTTTCTGGAATGGTAATAAAAAAATAGCAAGGATGAGCTTTTACTCTCAAGATGAAGCTATCAGAGATAGACGGTACTAGTAAAAAGGTCCTTGTCACTGGCCAAAAACAGAAGTTAAGTAAGATCTCAAAGCTTTGTTTGTCAATGAAGACTACAGGGTGATTTTTATCTGAAACAGACAGAGTAAGGCCTTGCTTATATACTTGTATAATGCAATCTGCCTTCCAAAATTAATTAATTAATGTGTTAGAAAAAGTCTTCTTTGAATACAAAGGTAAAAGATCAATATCTAAAATTGCCCAATACTTTGATACAGTAATTCTCCTTTACGATCCTTTTCTTACCTTACACTGTGAACCAGTTGAAAAGTGAGTCACAAACAAGGGCTGGGATACTTCCCTTTGCTCTCTGAAAACATACATCCAGTCATAATTCCCAAATAATATTGTCTTTCTTTGTAATGATGAGTTATCAAGGCATAGGTCAAAGATCTCACATCTTTAACTTTGTGAGGCAGGAGGAGCAAGTTAATATTATTCTCAGTAGAGAAAAGTAGCTTATGCTCAACCCTAACTCATACCTCTGCTATAGCCATACCTCCTCCTTTCTTCCATGCCTAGTTTTGTTTCTCTGTTTGTTTGTTTTGAGGAAGATTAGCCTTGAGCTAACATCTGCCACCAATCCTTCTCTTTTTGCTGAGGAAGACTGGCCCTGAGCTAACATCCATGCCCATCTTCCTCTACTTTATATGTGGGACACCTGCCACAGCATGGCTTGATAAGTAGTATATAGGTCAGCACCCAGGATCCAAACTGGTGAACCCCAGGCTGACGAAGTGGAATGTGCAAACTTAACTGCTGCGTCACCGGGCTGGCCCCTCCATGCCTAGATTTTGTTTTCTGTTTTTTGTTTTTGGTGAGAAAGATTTGCTCTGAGCTAGCATCTGTTGCCAATCCTCCTCTTTGTTTTTTTTCCTACTCAAGGAAGATTAGGCGTGAGCTAAAATCTGTGCCAATCCTACTCCATCTTTGTATGTGGGTCATCACCACAGCATGGCTTGATGAGTGATGTAGGTCCATACCTGGGATCTGAACCCATGAACCTGGGCTGCCGAAGCAGACTGTGCCAGAGTTAATCACTATGCCACGGGGCCGGCCCTCCATGCCCAGTTTTTAAGTCCTGCCTTAAATATCACCTCCTCCAAAGAGTCAACTGTGATTGTTTCAGCTATTAATCACTATTTCATATTTTAAGCAGTACTGTGTTTATTTTATAGCCCTAAATAAGTAGTTTAACTATGCATTACTACAACAGAGATAACCATGCATGCCCCAAACATTGTTGTCTCCTCTTTCAGTCTCCTTTGCACTTAAGTGGAACTATGTGACTGAGCTCTAACCAATGGCATGTGAGTGGAAGTGGTGTAGGCACTTCCAAGCCTGGTTCATGAAGATTTCCCGTACGTGATCCTCCCATTCTTCCCACTTCTCTCTTGATACAGGTGAACACTATAACTTTGAAAGTCACATGTTGAAGATGGCAGAGCCACAAGGTAGAAAAATACATAGTCCCATGAGTCACAACTGAGAGAAGAATCACCTTCCAATTAGGGGCATCCATTTTTCCATTTTGGAATATACATGAATAAGAAATAAACATCTACTGTGTCATGCCACTGTGATTTTGCACTTTGTCATGTTAGCTGGCATTATCCTAAGTAGTATAAAATTTAGTACTTTGGAGTAGAATTCTGCTTTAAAAAGAACTAAAATATTTGCTTCTTTTTTAGTGTTTGGCATGTGTGTAATGAGAAGATGGGAGATGGGAGAACCCAACTATACTCTGGGAAAATATTTGGTAAAGCAGACACTCTTTTGCTTTCTTGAAATGCAGGTGACAGGTCCTCAGAGCCATGATTCTCAGGAAATTTTTGGAAACGGTGAAAGTTTGGTATATGTTGGTTGCTTTCAACTGACTTCGGCAAGAAAAGAACTGGCCAAGATTTTGTAGGTTTTCAAGCAAAGATTAAATGGAATTGAGAGAAAACAGCAATCAAGGGTCATACAGGCTCAGAAAAAAGGAGTCCTTTTGAATATTGAATAGTATGAAATAAGGATGAAAAGACATTGAGATACAAAAGCCAGTAAAAGCTCTCAGTTGAACAAAATGTCCCAGCCTCGAGGCAAAGCCCAGAATAGTGGGGTTACCTTCCCAGCCAAGTGTATTGCTGGAAAGCTTAAGATCAACTATAGAAACACCGAAAAGAACTCATTCTACCCAAAGGCCTAAACCTTTAATGGGATTTAATTGCTACTACGGAGTAGCAGAGGCTTTTAATGACAATAATGAGAGAGTGAATAAAAAAATAGTGATTTTCAATTACAGTGAGAGCAATATCCAGTGCTAACACTAATTCCCTTAGCACTTGTTCTGGGGAAAATCTTGTTTCAAAATTACAGCACCAAACATATGTTCATTACTCACCACCCCATCATTTCTTTGCCACTAATGATCTCATGATTGCCAACGTGGATAGCATTGTCAATAATTTAGTTGAACAAATATTTTTTGAGCATCTCCCCTGTGCTGGGTGCTGTGAATAGAGAGATTCATGGAATAAGGTTCTTGTCCTTAAGAATCTCAAGGAAGGACATTGAATCAAAGTCAAATCTGCGACTGAAAACACCCTATTAAAAGTTTCCACAGCAATGAAATTACTGTGGGACTCTAGAAAAGGAAGAGATCCAACAGACAAGGGATAATCTCAGAGGTTTTCATGATTCAGAATTAAAGTGAGGCATTAGAGAACCTACTGTTCCCAGCAGTTTGGCTGCAGGAACCACCTTGAAATCTGCTTGGGAAAAATTCTATACGAATTTTCTACAGCTTAAAAGAACATAGACCCTAGTCAAATCAACGTCAGCCATTTGTCAAAGGCAACTTATTTCCAGATATGTCTTTGAGAATTCCACAATAAACAACTGGAAAAAATCTTGGAATATAAGGGAAAGTGGAAACATAGTAAGCATGTTTTGCAAATTGAAAGATCAAAGAAATGCCTAGGACATAGGATGTTTTACATGCAGATGTCAATATTTTATGATTATCCCTTACCTTTAGATGGCTACCCTGCCAGAGACTCTCTTGCTTTTGCATACTTCCAGGTTCAGCTTCTTAAAATCCTAATGGCCTTATTACAGAATAATTCCTTTGGGCTAGTAAATTAAGTTACACATGTCGACTGAGGTCAATGCTTTCATCATTGACAATTTAGAAGTTTTGTTCTCACACTGTCACCTATAATTTAGAAAGGGTACGGATAAGACCATGAACTTCTGGGCTCTGATACTGTCTTTGAAACTCACTAGTTGTTTGACCTTGAGCAAGTCATTTAACCTCTATGAGCTTCATCTTATTCATCTACAAAATGGAGAGAATATTATTCTGCATAGGGCCATTGTATGGATTATGTATAGAAAGACCTTAAAACTATGAAAGCTATTTATTTTTCCCTTAAAATCCTTCTCCCTTTCTATTCAATCTTGTCCTCAACTTACTAGGTCCAGCTCAACATCTGGTGTTTTAACTGACTTGAGATATTCAGAGAAGTTTTGACACTAAGACAGGAAGATGGCATGGTCCCAGCCCATAGGGTCTCTTGTTTCGTGATGAAGAAAAACGCTCAATTGTTGTTAGTTCAATTCACATCTCTATCTCAGTGCCTAATACAGTGCTTGGGACATGGTAAATACTCAATAAATGTTTGTTGAACCCATGAATAGCTGAACAATATATAATATAGACCAGGATGTGAGACATATCATAATATTATGAAAAAGCAGGCGAATAAAGAGAAAAGATGGGAGAGATTAGCTACTGTTTAGAATTGTGTATGTAAAAATGGAGAAACAAGTTAGTGGAAAAAGAATTCTATGGTCCCCTAGGAAGAAGATGAGTTTCCTTTATCTTCTTACTTCATACTAAAATCATCTAAGATCTTAATGAAACCCCATGAATTAGCCATCTCCAATATATTTTCACACCATTTTAGATTATAATTAACACTGTATTTTACTTGCTTCATTTAACACAATAGCTCTAAGAATGAATCCAGTCTTCTAACAGGGTCAACTTTGACGCTCATTCTAAAAGATGATTTTAGCAGTTTTAATTAAAGAAATTCACCATATGGTTTATTACCTGTCGCGATGCTGGCAATGAGCCCTCTTCTCCTGTCTGGATCCAACAAGGATTAATGAATTGAGCATGGGCTTTGGTGTCAGGAGACGTTAAGCTGTTTTTCTGTTCCATATTAATTCTATGACCAAAAGAAAGTCATTCAATGATGCTGAAACTCCCTTTCCCTGTGTGTAAAAGGAAGATTTCATTATAGTATTCCAGGAAGTTTTCTAAAGAATTAAATTAAATAAAAAATATAAAATAATATTTTAAGTTAAAAAAGTAAAATACTAATTATTAAAAAGCATTTTACAATAGCAGTGCTAGCAGTAATAATAGTGTTTGCTGTAAATTGATGAACTCTCTTTAGGCTTTCTCATTCTAGATTTTGTGGAGGGGGTTGTTTACCTTTGCTCAGAAGTGAGCTGGATGCTAACGTCTCCATCTTCCACTTGTGTGATTATTATGTGAATCTGGAATAATCAGTATGCTTACCTAATGTTGGCCTTTTTTTTGGTCAAATTTGAATATTTATTGATTCCTAACAACTCAGACATTATAAACAGGAATGGATTTAGGTTTTGTGGGGCCTAAAGTTCATATAATTTGGGGGCTTTTTTAAGAAAGAGAATAGAAAATTATGACTACAAAGTGAAGTATGTGAATTAATATACAATCAGAAAAAAAATAATTTAGAACAAATTAAAAACTATAAAAACCCTGACTAATAACACAAAATCAGCAAAAACAGAAAAAAATGTTGTTAATTACCTGCCTGACATATCTCTACATGCAACTATCTACATGCTCTTTGATTGTGTCCCAATTAGAATAACATTTTATTTTTTCTTTTCCTACAGAGACAATAAAAGAAAAATTAGTGTTTTATCTCACATAGTTGGCTGAAATTTGTTATTGTGTTATTGATACTTATAAAAATATAATTCACCCTCTCAATTCATTACATGACAAAACAATTTAGAGTCACAAAATTTCAGTGTGTTATCAAATTTGGGAAAATCTATAGAAAGTGTGTTAAATACTCGAGATAGAAGATTTGGAAGAACTTTCCAGAGACTAACTCTTGGTTCTCTGTGTATCAAACCTTAGTTCTATTCTACTATACACATACTTCCTCTGGGTAGAATATACTCATATTGTGCACTTTCATTTTAAATCACCAATGGAGTGAGCGGTAAGAGTAATCCCAGAAGCCATTCCTCCTCTGAGATGGGAACACCTAACTATGTAAGGATAGGATTTTGAGCCACCAAATTATATTTCACTAAACTCAGTCTAAATGTATCTCCCATTCACTTTCCCCTTAGCCAGATCACAAAATTCTCTACAGCTGCTCCATTACTCCTCAACATGAGGAGAACATGTGATAAGATATGAGTTGGAGAGAGTGGTCTAAATTGCTTGTGGTTAAAATATTTTATAAAAATGTATGGATTGTAATTAGTCTTTGGCTTGTGGACGTGATGTAATCTACACAGAATTTGAAATATGTTACAATGTACACCTGAAATTTGTATAATGTTATAAACCAATTTACCATAATAAAAAAATTAAATAAATATTTATAGAAAAAAATGTACGGAATAAAGAATGATCCAGGCTATCTAGAAAACAGTTTAACAGTTTCTTATAAAACTAAACTTCCAATTACCATGTGACCTAGTAACTGTGCTCTTGGGCATTTATAATAGAGAAGTAAAAACTTATGTTCTTATAAAATCCTGTACATGAGTGTACATTGCAGCTTCATTTGTAATAGCCAAAAAATGGAAACAACCCAAATGTCCTTGAGATGGTAAAATAAACATAGGTATTAATAATATAGACTGCTACTGTGAGTGGTAGATAAAATACTTGAAAACCCATTTTCCTCCATTCTTCACCTATAACATGGGCTTTGAAGTATGTCTGTGTAGGACATTCAACCCGACTTTCATCACATTGCTGCAGGGGTAAGAACTGGTGCAAGGGAACCACACGGTCATTATTTAATTTTTAAGTGAATCATGATAATCTGTCTCTGATCCAGAATACCTCATGTGACTATTCAGAATAAAATTAATAAAGATGAGTATTAAAAACCCAACAACATTCAACAATATGAAAGAATGAACTGTGATATACACAATGGCTTAGATGTAGACTGAGGGAATCATGCTAAGTTGAATAAAAGTCAATTCCAACAGGTTACATTCTGTATGATTCCATTTATACAGCAATCTTGACGTGTAAGGCCGCAAGCCCAGCTGGGCTACAGTGGCAGGATATCTTGCCGAGAGACTGAAGAAATGACCTGGAGACTGCGAATGAGACATATAGGTTTATTGGGTCTTACACTTGCGTGTCCAGTAGCGGCCGGCTGGACAGAAGTGTGCACCCGCAACCGGCCCCTAAGAGAAGCTTGCTTAAGCAGGCAGAGGAACAAAGGCTGCATGCCTGCCAAAGGGCTTCCCTTGGTACGACCAGCGTTCCCAGGACAGTAGCTCACATGGAGGGTCTCTGTGTCCCTGTAAGACGTGCTGTTCTTCTCGTGGGATAAGGGAGGATCCGGGCTGGCCAGGCCCAGATCGTTACAAATCCCGGTAGCTGGGCTGCCTGCGCAGAAGGGAGCTGGAAGGACACATGGTTGCAATAGGCCTGGGGGTTTCTGCTGAGCAAGCAAGGCCCAGGCCCTACATGAAGTAACAATAGAAATGAGAGCAGATTCATAGTCCCCAGGAGGGGGTGTAGAAGGGAAGTGGGTATTGCTATGAAAGTGCATCTTGACTGTGATGGTGGATACAGAAACCGACACGTGATAAAATTGCACAGAACTAAATACATACACACACAGATGAACACACTTTAGACTGGTGAAATCTGAATAACATTGGTGTGCTGTATCAACAACACATTCACGGTTTTGATGTCATACTATTGTTTTGCAAGATGTTACCATTGGAGGAAACTGCGTGAAGGGAGCACAGGATCTATCTGTGTTATTTATTACAACTGCATGTGAATCTACAATTATCTCAAATAAACAGTTTAATAAAAGTAATATGAGCATGTGAGCTGTGTATTAGTGCCCTTTGGGGGCCTTGGAAGGATGCAATTGCTAGTCCCTGAGGTGATGCTTCATACCCTTTATGGTAATTCTGTTTGCTGATAAGCATGGTGCTGTGGGCACTGCCACCTAGCCTGGTGTGATTTGATTCTTAAACCAGTGTAGAGCTTAAATATAGGCTTCATGAGGAAGGAAACTTGTATTGTTCATCACTGCAGCCCCAGAAACAATTACTGTCTGGCATAAAGCAGGCATTCCAGGTAATGAATGGAGTAAAAAACTGCATCTATCCTGATTTTGCTTTGACAAATGTCTGGTTATTTGATTTTTACTTATTGATACAATGTCATTACACTACTCTAAAATAATATGTTGCTAAGTGATTAATCACCAAATAAATATGGAGAGTCCAGGACATATATGTGGAAGAGTTCCAATCCATTTCCAACATGGTAGCAAAGTACCTGTAAAGCGAATTTAGTTTCAGACTAGAAAGAATGTCTCAGAGTAAAATATTACAGATTCTTTTGAGAAGAATACCACCAGAGAATTAGCCCACTGGTAAATATTATTTCTTTTACCGTTCTCAGCCTGCTGGTAGATCTTGGAAGTCCTGGAACTGCGTTCCTTGACATCTTTCAAAATTTGTGGATTAGGTATCAATATCTGAGAGGGGAGAATACAAAAAGTTTAGAAGCGTTTGACAACTTGCTCAAGGTCTCAGAGGATGAGTGGTAAAGTTGAAACTTGAACTAAAGATGCCCTTTTTCTAAAGTCTATGATTATTCCTTCTGACATAAATAAACCTGTGAGCAGAATATCTAGAAAATTATGTGTAACTTCAGTTCTATGAAAGACTACGCCCCTCTCTTAGGATACAAAAGACTACCTTATACCTGAGTTTGTTTCACTTTTGCTTTTTAAAGAGAGCATCCACTTACTTAGGGCAGGCCCAAACATTTATTTTTGGAAAGGTGACTACTGATTTTAATGGCTTATGGACTATTAACTCTTGGGCAGACTGAACTGGGCATTTCACCTTGTGAGAGACTCTGGAAGATGAAAAGAGGAGAAGGAAGGAAGTCGAGTACAGGGGAGTGGGGAAGGTTGAAGCCATCACAGAAGGAAGGGAAGGACTCAAAGGAATCTCCTGGAGAACAAAGGAGAGTGACGAGAGGAGGCCCAGGGAGGGTTGGCAGCCACCGCAGGTCTTTAAACAGGGTTGGTATAAACGTATTATCACTTGTAATTTATTGACATAAAATTTGGAAAGAGCTAAAAAAACAATGAAGTTAATCTTTTATTCAAATTATTGGGAAAAGCAGATGGTGGGGGGAAGAATCAGAGTGAAACACACACTTCCCGAGAGTAAATGAAAGATGCGGTTAGAATAAAGATCACAGCAGCATCAGAGATCAAAGAGCCCGGTGAGAGGGAGGCGTACCACGAGCCGCCGGGCAGAGCAGAGCTGCCGCTGGGCTTCTGTGTGCAGTGTCTGCTGACTCCACGCTCACAGGAGTCAAAACTGAAACACGCGGAGAGTGACCCTCTTCTCTAGTCTCCTCTGTACCACTAGGGAAACTGCGACTCTACAAAGGACAGTGACTTATGCAAGGTTGCATCTTACCATCATTTGTGGAGCCCTGACCTTTTGTGGCTCCCACACTATCTTTTTTTGTCACATCATAATGCCTGCTATTTTTTATTCAGATTTGAAGTTAGTGTTGTAAAAATTATACACACAGATGGATGTGCACACACACACACAGGAGAGAGAGGAAGTGACATCTCACTTATAGAAAATAGCTCTGGGGCCGGCCTGTGGCGGAGTGGTTAAGTTTGCGCGCTCCGCTGCGGACGCCCAGGGTTCGGATTCTGGGCGCGGACATGGCACTGCTGGTCAGGCCACATTGAGGAGGCGTCCCATATGCCACAACTAGAAGGACCTGCAACTAAGATATACAACTATGTAGCAGGGGGGATTTGGAGAGATAAAGCAGAAAAAAATAAATAAAAAGATTGACCACAGTTGTTAGCTCAGGTACCAATCTTTAAAGAAAAAAAAAGTATATCTTAAAAAAAAAAGGAAAAAAAATAGCTCTTTATAGTTTGTCGTGGTTAGTTATGATGATGTTACAGGC